CAGCAGCTCTACTCATCATCAGTGCCCTGGCACCCTCAGTGCACATGTCAGCATCGCAGAAAAGGCCAAAAAAAGAAAATTAGTATTATTATAGAAATAGCTTTGACCTTGCCTTTGACACCCTGAAGGAATCTCAAGAAGGCATCCCAGGCTGCAATTTAAGAATCACAGGTTTATGGTAACAGTAAGTGCTCAAGGTGGGAAAGTGATAAGAAGTTGTAGTTTAATAAAATGGCGGTAAAATAAAGGTCATTACTCAGATGCAAAAGCTGGAATTAACCAAAATCTACAATTGCTCAATGGTGTTTAACTCAGAGCCACACAAAAGTTCCCTTTACATTGGAAACCATGTACTTCTTGAAGTTATTTTACTTCTTTGCAATTGTTTTTATATGCTTTAACTTTCGATAAATCAAGATCCCTTCTCATACAGTGATTACTGCAGCATGTGCACACACGTTGGCGTCATTACTAATAATGTTGGCATCATCAGCGTTCCTGCATCAATCATCACCGCATTCTCTGTGACAATGAAGCAAATAGTCCCCCCATCAGTGATCAGTGTGCAGTATGAAGCAAGTGGTACCCACATCAGTATCAAGCCTGAATCTCATCATTCCCCCCACATTCTTAGTTATTTCTCTTAGAAGACTGTAATTGTCTTCTTTTTATAGTATCAATCTTCCTACACCAGGATGTTCCTATCAACATATAAACATTCTTTTCTATCTTCTATTTTAAACAACAACAACAACAACAACAACAACAATAAAACCCTTTACCTTCTCATTATTTTCTCTGAAATTCAAATCCCTCATTCTGGAGACTCTATTTGCTACTCTCTGATGTGGTACCCATCCTGGCATGCTGCTGAAATCACTCTTGTCAAGGACATCAAAGACTTCCATGCTGCCAAAGCCAATGAACACCTTTCTCGCTTCATTCTTCTTGAGCTCCAAGAATCACTCACCATACAAAACATTCTCTTCATGTTTCTTTTTTGGAATTTAGCAGCCTTACTCTAGTGGCTGTACTCCTCATTCATGGGGGTTGAATAGGGGGTCCTTTCAAATCAATCTCTAAATATGGGGTTCTTTGAGGCCTGGTAATTCTAAGCATTTTTTCTCTCTGTCCTCTCTCCTTAGATGATCTACTTCAACTCCTTGCTGATAATCACCACATTTATACTTATATTTACCTTTACAGTTTTCCCTCTGACTACCATTCTCATGTTTTTTGTTTTTGTTTTTGTTTTCTTGTTGTTGTTGTTTTTAAATATATTTTATTGATTTTGTACAGAGAGGAAGGGAGAGAGATGAGAGTCAGAAACATCGATGAGAGAGAGTCATCAATCAGCTGCCTCTTGCACACCCCCTACTGGGGATATGCCCGCAACCAAGGTACATGCCCTTGACTGGAATTGAACCAGGAACCTTTCAGTCCCCAAGCCGACGCTCTATCCATTGAGCCAAACCGGTTTCGGCATTGAGCCAAACCGGTTTCGGCCCATTCTCATGTTTTTTTTAATCCTCACCCAAGGATATATCTTCTTTGATATTTAGAGATAGAGGAAAGATGATGGAGGGAGGGAGGGAGGGAGGGAGGGAGGGAGGGAGAGAGAGAGAGAGAGAGAGAGAGAGAGAGGAACAATGTGGGAAATAATCATCAGTAGGTTGCCTTCCACACATGCCCTGACTGAATATGGAACATGTAACCTAGGCATGTGCTCTGATTGACCAGAAATGAAGTCATGACCATCTGGTGAATGAGATGATGCTCCAACCAACTGAGCCACTGAGCCAGGGCCACTATTCTCATGGTTTCAAAAGCCTTCTTGACATCCCTATGGGAACCTGGGTGACTTTTAGATGCCTCAAAATAGTATGTCCAAAATGTAATGTTTTATTTCTTCACCCCAAACCCATGGCCTTCTCCCATCCTCTTCATTCAAAGGGAATGACACCATTTCTACACATTGTTCCAACCAGACACGTAAGCATTGTCCTCCAGTCTTCACTTCCGGTAGGTCCAGACCTTCAATACTTTTAAATTTTGCACATTCAGTTACTATCTAGGTTAACAATGTCAAGTTTGTATGATAGGGGGTCCTGTGGTATAAACCATCTTCACATGTTCTCTGTATGTCTATTTGCTAGACCCTTGGGACTTTAAACGAGAGTGTAAAAATGCAGTCTTTAGATCATAATTCACAGAACCAGTGCTACAGATACACGTCTTGCTTTACAAAGGGACCACCATCCAGAGTTCTGCTTCCTAAAATGAGCTGATTGTGCTATTATATTTATTTTTATAAGAAACAAAGTGGAATTATTTGATGCTTTTTCAATATCCTGGTGATTTTTAAAAATTTCTTACATACAAAAGTGAGACTATTATAAAATAATATTGCATAGTAATCTTCATAGTCAATGCTTCGAAACTCCTACTTATCTCAGACAAACCACTTTTACAACAAATTACCACACTCTCTATTAAGCACAGTGAAAGCTGTAAAACATCGAGTAACCTTCTAGAACTAATAAATGACACCATTTGTGCCTCTTCTCTCTCTGGCACTGCACTGCCCTTGGAATTGACACTCTATTCTTCTCACAATAGCTAATGTTCCCCTCTAAAGTTTTGTTTCAACATTGATATTCCCACATTTTGTCTTAGAGTACAAAGCTGCAGATGATATAAATAACCTCACATGGATTTTTTGGATCAATCTTTTTTTAAAAAAAATCTTCCAAAACTTTTAAAGTGCTGACTTATTTTATTTTGTCTTCAGATGCTAATAGATGAATCATAGATTTATTAAAAATACTTTTTAGCCCTACCTTGTTTGACTCAGAGGATACAGCATTAACCTGCAGACTGAAAGTTCCCAGGTTTGATTCTAATCAAGGGCATATGCCTGGGTTGTGGCCTCAATCCCAGTGTAGGGCGTGCAGGAGGCAGTCGATCAATGATTCTCTCTCATTGTTGATGTTTCTATCTCGCTCTCCTTCTCCCTTTCTCTCTGAAATCAATAAAAATATATTTTAAAAAATACTTTTTAGCTTTCATATATATTCATTGATACTGAAAGAAGTTAAGTTATATACACAGTAAGTATAAAAAAGAAAGGGCTAAATATAGGTTGACATATCTCTGTTTCTCAGTGTATTGATCCTTGGTGGCACATACTTTCTTCTAACAATGTTTTTTATTCTCTGAGTTTGAACTGTGTATTCAGTCTTTTACTGCAAAGCCAAAGAAAATTTACTCTTGCTACTTCTAAATAAATAAACATTTAAATCTTGGTGAAATCATAAGAATGCCGGTTTTAAAATTCCCTCTCTGTGAATCAGAAGCAGTTTTTTTTAAATTATTGTATAATTAGAGGATAAAAATAATATCACATAGTGATGCTTAACAGATGTGTGACTTTATATGACATCAGTATCAAATGTCTTCTTTATTTTTCAAAATGTGATTTTAAAAGCCTACAAAGTACATTGGAAAAAAAATGACAGTAAGACTACTGCAACTAGATACTTTGGAATTGCTTGGTTGAACTTCATGGGAATCTTGAATTATAACCGATAATTAAACAAATTTTCCCTAATATTTGCAGTATGCCAGATGAGTGAAAAAAAATCAGCTCATCTAAATTGATTTCAAAAGCAGCTATCAGCCCTAACCAGTTTTGCTCAGTGGATAGAGTGTTGGCTTTCGGACTGAGGGGCCCAGGTTCGATTCCGGTTAAGGGCATGTACCTTGGTTGCGGGCACATCCCCAGTAGGAGGTGTGCAGGAAGCAGTTGAATCTACATTTCTCTTTCATCGATGTTTCTAGCTCTCTTTTCCTCTCCCTTCCCCTATGTAAAAATCAATAAAAAATATATACCAGTATATATATATATATTTTTTTAAAAAGAAAAGAAAAAGAAAAGCCGCTATCAGTCAAAACCAAGTAGACAAATCAGCTCAGAGGTTTGTTTTCTCTCATTCTAGGAGTCATAGAAAACTTGATCACTCAGCGTATGCATACTTTTCATTATACAGTGCATTCATACCTATACACAGAAAACCAGCTGAAAGGATGTTTCAAGATGCATATCTTGTGGCCCAATAGTGAGAACATCTTAAATCCCCATGCACCAAATTACGGAATTCCTATTATGCTTCCGTGTGTTTACATGTGGAGGACAGATTGGGCAGATAGGCAGCTAGTAATTCACAGAAAATTACTGTCCAAGTGGCTGGACACCAGAGAAAACCAGTGGATGAAAATTATGGTCAGTCACCCTGGTGCGATCCACCAGCCAGATCTCATCAACTCATTTAGATATATAGGCCCCTAAAGCAAAGCTTCCTCAAGCAATATGGTATCTTATTTATCTTGAAACACGAAGGTCTCTAACGGCTCTAGGAGGGAAACTCCTCACGAGCTGATGAAAAGGCTCTGGACCCAGCATGCCCAGCCTTCCCCGGCAGAGAGGCCGCCAGAAGCAATATAAAATAGAATCCCTCCTTGCTCTTTTTTATCTCCCTTTTGTGTCGTCTATTTGACTTCGCTATCGGTGTGGCTTATAGTGTTCTGAGTGCAATGAACAATAACGCCGTGAATCTGTGCTCAATATCTAAAGGGAGCGTCTAGCCAGGAAATATAAAGGCTAGTTCCCTCTCTCCTGTTTTCCTTGTCTGGAAGATATGCGTAGACTGTTTGGAATGACTGTGAGAAGGGCTGTGTGTAAAGCAACACCCCGATCCAGTGCTCTGCACTTTGCTATTTGCCTGCGGCAATGGACAGTCCGGAGAAAAATAGGGGGGGGGGGGGGGGGGGCAAGAGGGAGACTAAAATGCATCAATCCCAGAAATCTCTTGTAAGGAGTAACCGAGGGCAGAAGAGCATGCAGCCAGCTGATAAAAGCGGAGGCCGCCTCGCCAGCATTGGGTCTAATTCTCTCCACGCGTCTCCGGTGAAAAGCCAAACAATTTCTCATTCACAGAGCTTCCAGTGGCAGCGCCTGTTGAAAACTTATTATTTTCAAATAGGATTACATCTGTTAATATGAGAACATGCATATTACCATATCTGGTCAAAATCAAAAGTTCCAATTTGCTCACTACATGTAAATCCAATTCAAAGTATTTCCATAACATATATCTGCTGGGTGTTACACTGTTTGTGTGTCACTCCGGAATGGATTAGCGGCATGACAGGCGCGGCTCCGTGCTCCTCCGCTTGGTGTTTTTAAACAGTTTATGTTTGTTATCATATCAAAGGCAGGCTCGCCCGTTTTCAAAAGGAGGGAGAGAACACAGCGCCCAGGGCTGCTCCAGCATTACATTTCTTATTCCATTTTATCTTTCATGGTTTTGACTAATGTCAGTAACAGCTACTGGTAATAAACTGCTTGGTACAGCCTGCTGCTGCCTTGAAGCCTCGCTTTGATACATTGTCGGCCAATCGGAAGCATTTCCTGATTACATTTCCAAATTGCTTGTTTATTGATCGGGAGTTAATAAAGCAAAAGACAACTTCAGGAGTTAAATTAAATGAAACTTTCCTTTGATGTTCAAATTATCCAATTAACCAACATGCGGTGAAATGTAAGCATGTGGAAGTTTTATCTGAAAAGGGAAAAAAATATGTATGAGATAAATGGATCTTTGCATAGACAGGGTGGCTAACTGCTAATGAAAAATAAGTGCAACTTAGCATACCGTGATTCCATTTATTTCTCAGGAAAGGAAATGGTGTTGCTGTTCAATCCGCCCCCCTTCTCAAAACTGAACAAGAAAAATGGTATTCTAGGCATTGTATCACTTCGTTAGCAATAATGTCTTAAAATTGTAACCATCCTATCTAATAAAAAAATGTGATATGCAAATTAACCATCACTCCGTCACAAAGATGACGGCACCCGTAGCCACAAGATGGCAGTGCCCAGTCCTCTCAGCCCTCCAGCTTCCTCCATTGGGGGGTGGGGGGGAGGAGGGCAGCTGCTGAGAGCGGGCAGAGTGGTGAGCGGCCTGGCTGAATGCTTGCTTTGTCACCGGACAAGTACAATAAAAGTGGGCTCCAGAACAGCCGGTGTCTGAGTCTGGGCAGGAGCAGGTCCTGAGAGCTCTTCTGCTGGCCGCTCAGGAAACGTCAGCGCCGTTTGGGAGGAGGTGGTAACCACTGCTGAGGAGCCAGAGTGGAGACAGGGGGCTGCCTCTGCTCCCGCAGGGGTGGCGGGTGAGCTGCAGGTCAGGAGCCTCCGGGAGGGGCGGCGCCAGGCCATCCACTGCTGCATCCAGTCCCTGAGGCATGCCCACCAGTGCTGCAGCACCAGCTGTCTGCAGCCGTCCTGCCAGGAGATGAGGTGGTTGTGCAGCACAGCAAGACCAATGGAGGCTGCGGCGTGTGCCGGCAGCTCGTCACCCTTTGCTGCTACCATGTCAAGCACTGTCAGGAAAACACGTGCCCCCTTCCTGATTGCCTCAACACCAAGCAGGAGCTCTGCCAGCAGGAGACACAGCACCACCGGCAGCACGTATAGCTCATGTGCCAGCGAATGCCACCATCGACACCCGCACGGTGACTCAGTCGAGTCTGCCTTCTCCTTCTTCGGCTCCACCCCGGCCTCCCACGCTGCATCCTAGCACACCCTGGACACCACAGCCCCCGACTCTGCCCCAGCCCTCGCCTGTGAACATTAACTAGCCGGCTTCTCCAGCGTGGCCAGAACTCAGCCGCGGCCGCCCACCCCCACAACCAGTTTGCACTGGAAAGCCCACTAACCAGGTGTCAGCCCCCCCGCCCCCCCCCCCCCCCCCCAGGCCCACCTGCAGCAGGGAAGATGCCTAGCAGATTGCACATGAGGCACAGCAGCAGCAGTAGCACCCGTATGGGTGAGCACCAACAACAATATGCCCCTGAGGCACAGTGAGCCCTGAGAGCCAGATGGCCCCCATGGGCCTGAATGCGGCCCAACCAGGTCAGTGGGCCTGTTTTTCTGCCCCACCCCCCTGAGCCCCAGCAGTGGCAGCTGGCACCCATCCCCCAGCACCCAGCACCCATCACCCACGCCCAGACTCGCGATGTTAATGCAGACCCAAGGTGCAGCCACCTCAGAACATCTCTCCAGGTGCCCTGCAGGGCCTGTTGTGGACCCTGAAGTCTCCCAGCTCCCCCAGCAGCAGCAAGTGCTCAACATCCTCAAGCCAAACCCTCAGCTGATGGCAGCCCTCATCAAATAGCACACAGCCAAGTAAGTGGCCAGCCAGCCCGGCCTTTAACTCTAGCCCACCCTGCTGAACCTGAACACCATGCAAGCCAGCGGGCCACAATCTGCTGTCCCTCTGCAGCAGCAAGCAATGGGAGGCCTGAAACCCCAGGGCCAGGCTTTGAATATCATGAACTCAGAGGGCAACTCCAGCACGGCGAGTATGAATCACAGTGCAGAGAGATGTCACAGAGCAACAGCAGCAGCAACATTGTGAGAGGCGTGTCTGACAGTTCGTTTAGACATCAGACATTCCCCAGAGGAGTCCCAGATTGAAGATGGTGCAGGCCGGGCTGAAGGACACTCCTCCAGTGCATGAATTTCATGCACCAGACCCCTATCTACAATAACACTAGTAAAAGCATAAAATGCTAATTAGACCAGACATTCTTCCAGACAACCTTCTGGATGAAGTCAGGCTGCAAGGGAAGCCGTGGTCCCAGGAGCCAGAGGGAAGCTGGTACTGGCAGCTGGGAGGAGAAAGGCTTTTTCTTGCAGGAATTTCGTGCATCGGGTCTCTAGTTTCATTAAATAAAATGAAGTATATATAACTTTATGGATTTATTAAAGTTCTAATAATTAGAGGTGGTAATCCAATTTATGTGATCTCTTTGGAATATTATAGTATAGCTGTTTGGATGACAGATATGGTCAGCTCAACCGTGTAAAAGAAATTGGCGTCTTTGAAATTGTGAATAGCTTTTGACATCCACTTCCCAAGGAGAAAGCAACCTCTTGTGAACATAAGGGGGGATCAAACATTTCTGCTTATGATGTAAATAAATAAATATTCAAATGGCTTGCAGAAGACCAGTACTTCAGCATATGAGATCTAGAATATTTGGTTAGAGAGACAAAATAGGGTTTCTTAATATTTTGGAAAAATACATAGAGAAACCATTTTTATTTCTCATGACTGTGCTATGATTTTAAGTGAAAAGAGAAGTAAATAAAATTATACAAATAGTGTGATTAAAAGAAGGAAGTAGGAGGAAAAAGAAGAAAGCTTAGTAAAAAGTAGGCCAGAAAGTATAATAAAATACTAACAAAGGCTACTTCGGGGAAATACTAAAAGTAATTTTTATACTTACTTTCTTCATTTCTGAAATTTTAAAATAATAAACATGTATTGCACTTATACTGGGAAAAAAGACTTTAGTTTAAAATAAAAGTTAACAAAAATAATGGCATTTTCTTAGCTGTTTCTTTGACAAAACAATTATGAAAGGTTTAGTCTGGGATTAGACAGTGGGAAGCCTCACATACATTACTGGATTTCTTAAATTGCATGCCAAATATTTGAGCTTCTTCTACACTTATTTTTCCTCCTTCAAAGCTCTCCAAAGACAATTATTCAGACTACTAGTGGCCCAATGCATAAAATTTGTGCATGGATAATGGCTGCCGACTGGCCTCTTCCTTCGGTTCCTGCTGCCCCCTGGTGGCCAGCATATGTCATAGCCAGCAATCGAACTCACAGTCAGTTGAACTCCAAAGGGGATACTTTGTATATTAGGCTTTTATATAGAGAGACTAGAGGCCCAGAGCATGAAAATTCATGCACTGGAGTGGGGAGTCCCTCAGCCAGGCCTGCCCCCTCTAACAATCTGGGAACCCTCAGAGGTAGGAGGTGACCTGGCAATCAGGGGAAGGCAACACTCCATCAGACCTCTGCTGCTGCCACTACCGACAGCACAAGCCTAGGTGGGCCCTGGTTACCTGAGCCTTGGGTGGCCCTGAGTGGCTGGGCAGCTGCCATCTGAGGCTTGCCTGTGCCTCAGGCCAGCCCTGGGCAGTTGGGGGGCTGAGGAGAAGGGGGTACTCTGGAGGCAGGTGTGTAAAGCAGCTGGGCCTACCCTTGAGGCCGGGCCCAGCCTTGCTGCATGCCTACTACCCTAGCAGGGCTGAAGGGACTGGGCACTGCCATCTTGTGGCTGTGGCACTGCCATCTTTGAGGACAAGGCAGCAATTAGCATATTTTCTCCTTATCTTTGTGATGGTGTGAAGGTCAATTAGCATATTCCCTCTTTATTAGATAGCATGTTAGATTTCTAGATTGGGTAATTAGTGTCAAAGAGAATGTGACTTGTGTCCCCTTTAGCTGGTTTCTCTCTTCCAGCAGGCCATTTCCCACCAGTAGGCAGGTTTCTGTCTTCAAGGTGCACTCTCCTCATGCCTGCCTTCTTTAAACCCTTCAGAGGTCTCTGCCTTTCTGTGTTCTCAGCTATATCTCAGGTGCCAACTGGCCCCTCTGCTCCAGCAGCAAGGCTTCTTTGGGGTCTTCTCATTAGATGAACTTACTCCTTCGAAGTCCACACCTTCAGCAATTCACTCAAGAACATCTACTTCAGGGAAGCCCACCTGGCTTTCTGTCCACATTAGGGTTCATTGTCATTTGCTGTCATCAATCCTTTTGCTTCCTTAGCACGGACACTATATGACTCACATATCTGCTTAACAATGTCTGGCACAAAGTGAGCACTAAATAAGTATGTGTTAAAGGAGTAAATGAAAAATAAATGAGAGAACAGATTAACTAGTTGTTGATCAGTCACCCTGTATTCCTGTAGACAGGTTTGTTTGTTTTAATTTGATTTTGTGAGAGAGATTTGTTGTTCCACTTGTGTATGCATTCACTGGTTGATTCTTGTATGTGCCCTGACAGAACGTGTAACCCTGGCACATCAGGACAATGCTCTAACCAACTGAGCTACCCAGCCAGGGTTAGATGATTTTCTTAAATATCTAGGCTAATTCACATAAAAGTTTCACCCATCCATCCATCCATCCATCTATCCATCCATCTAGTATTTTCTTGAGCATTTACTGTGCACATTTAAGCACTCCTGAGATGAAAGCCTGAATTTGACATGGACTTTTTTCTGAGTTTACAGTGTTAGTCAGCATTCCCCTTTGTAGAGGTTGGCTGCTCCTTGATCAAAGCATGAATAGATGCTTGAAAGTGGCACTGTGCTCACAGTTCAGTAATTATGTTTATGTTACTATGCACCCAGTTTCAGGCCAAGTCCATGAGGCATTACTTATTTTCCTCTATCCCTCAATCCCCCTCCCTCTAACTCCCCTCAGAAAACCTTTAGCAAACCCTGGCCTCTTACCTCCAGCTTGTATTTTGAATCTGTCTTAGCACCTCTGCTTTCCTACAACCACCTGGTCTATGCAGCCGCCCTCTCTGTTTTGCTCTTCTCTGTTCCGTTGGCCACAAGAGAGCCTTAGCGATCTTTACAACACGATTATCCTGAAGGCATTTGCCTCTTTATTGTCTACATAGCTTCCTCTTGCACTTGCAATCAAATGCAAATTCTTTCATGAGCTGCAATGCCCTATCTTACCTTGCCTAAAGCCATGGCTAAATGCCACCCTACTTCCGGATGGTTGCTGCCAGCCACAGACCAAGTGTGCCCCTGCACCAGGACCTTGCCTTCACTAGTCTGCTCGCTCTAAATGCTCCCAAGGTCCTGTCACGGGTGGCTGCTCCTTTCATTCAGGTTAAAACTCACTGGCCCGCTCTTCAGGAAGCCTTCTGGGCAACACCTTCAACCACTCCCCAGTGCATTACGCTTTTGTGTTTCCTCCAGAGCACTTAGCACGGTCTGAAAATACCCAGTTTATTTGTGTGTTTTTACTTTTTAAATTAATGCTCCACCACTCTCCCACTCCCTCTAGAATGTGAGCTTTATGAGGATGAGATCTGGGTAGCCGGATTGCTGGTGTGACTCAGTGCCTACACACTGTCTAATAATGTCACTAGACAGCTACCTGCCCAGAGCGAGTCTGCCCCAGGCCGGGCTGTAGTGTGTGGACTCCTGAATTCCTGTATGAAAGATTTCACAGCTCAAGGCCAGATGGATTTCAGAGCATGTTTATTAAAG